TTCCCATATACCCGTAGCTTTCAAAGTCTGGTTCAAAGTGTCTAACAATGAAGCAGAGTACGAGACGTGTATCGCTGGATTGGAAGCTATCCTAGAACTAGTGGCAATATGGTTGAACGTCATCGGAGAGTCAAATATGGTTATTTCTCAAGCCAACAGAGACTGGAAGGTCAAATAAGAGAAAATGAAGGTTTATTAGCAGACCTTGGACATTTTGATCCCAAGGTTTGAAAAATTGACATTCACACATCTGCTAAGAGAGAACAACCGGTTTGTAGATGGGCTGACAACTTTATCCTCCATGGTAGACATACGCCTGCTTATGAGACAATAGTCACAATAGACGAAGTTCAAGACAAGAACCCCTAGTATTATGACAATTGGAACTTTTTGGAGGAGGATACGTCTCCACCAGGAGCAAATTCAAAGGATAAATGGGGAATATGGCGTCTGGCTGTCCAGTTCATCATTTGCGAAAATAAGTTATACAAGAGAGGCCATCTGGGAATGCACAAGCTCTGCGTTGAAGAAGAAGAGTCAAAGCGTCTCATGGAGGCCATCTACAGAGGAGAATGTGGAGCACACATGAATGGTGTGATGCTGGCTAGAAAGATCCTCAAGCAGGGCTATTATTGGTCAACCATGGAGGAGGATTGTATCAACTTTGTTCGGCAACGCCGCAAATGTCAAATTCATGCTAATTGCATGAACATCCCTCCGTCAAAGCTCCATAACATGACTTCATCATGGCCTTTCTCATTCTGGGGAATTGACGTCATCGGGGCAGTCTCGCCAAAGGGTTCAAATGGGCATGAGTTCATCTTGGTGGTGATCGACTGTTTTACTAAGTGGGTGGAAGCTCAGTCTTATTCTGTTTTGAATGCGTTACATGTGGCAAAGTTTATCAGGAACAATATCATCTGTAGGTATTGGGTGCCAAATGAGATCATCTTAGACAATGGCTTACACTTCAAGAAGGAGGTGGTAGATTTCCTTGAGAAATACAACGTGGCTTTCCACAAGTCATCAACATATAGACCACAGACTAATGGAGCTGTTGAGGCCGCAAACAAGAATATGAAGAACATCCTGCGAAAGATGATGGAAGCCTATAAAGACTGGCCAGATAAACTGCCTTTTGCACTCTAGGGTTATAGAACATCAATTCGAACATCTACAGGGGCTACTCCCTACTCTCTAGTATATGAGATGGAAGTTGTTTTGTGAATTGAGATCGAAGTACCGTCACTGAAAATCGTGGCAAGTGTCAAATAACAGAGGTGGATTGGCAGCAGAATAGATTTGAAGAATTGATGTTGTTTGATGAGAGAAGGTTGAAGGCGTTGTATCATATACAGGGATATCAACACAGAATTACTAGGGCCGTCAAGAAGAAAGTCAAATCCAGAAACCTCAAAGAAGGAGATATGGTGCTCAAAGACAACCGAGCCCCCATCTATGACCCTAGGGGCAAGTTTAAACCCAATTAGATTGGTCCTTACATCATCAAGTCCGTCTGGTCAGGAAAAGCAATTATTCTTATGGGTTTAGATGGCTTGGAGTTCTCGCAGCCAATCAACATAGATAAGTTGAAGATATACTATCTCTGAGAGGCTCGCTAGGTCGAAAATCCGAAAAGGCGACCTAGGTAAAAGTTAGAGCATGAAAAATTAGAAATAAAGAAAACAGAGCTCGCAAGGTTGAAAACGCAAAAGGGTGACTTTGGCAAAAGTTAGAGCACAAAAGAAGAGAGTTAATGCTCGAGTGAACCCGAATCAAACTACGTAAGGCCTGATTCCCTTCTTTGGGATATGGAGGCAACTTCATCTCGAAGTTCGGCCATAACCATCTCCAACTCAACTGTCCTATTCATATGTTTGATCGGTTTATCATTTTCCAGCGTCTGTTAGCTTGGTTATGTTACCTCAATTTGGCAGAAGGGCCAGTTACAAGACAGAGTAGTGATGGTGAATGTAGTTGCGGGTAATTATGACTCTTTTGATTTGGGGCTATACATCATGAGGCTTGATTCCATGCGTGTTAGGTAGTGATCGTTTCTGAAAATTATTTTGAAAAGTTTTAATGAAGTTGATTTTGTCAAAATTTCACTTTTTACGACACAGACCATTATATGGACCAAAAAGGAAAATTTTCAATGCTCACAACTTTAATTACATGATTTTAACACAAGTACACCCTCCAACTCTCAGGCTAAATCAAAGTTGCTTTTACATTGAAAACTTGAAAAGAAGTCAAAGCAATAAACTAGGGGCACAGATGATGATGATCCTTTGCCTCTTGCCCGCACTCGCAGAAGTCTCTGCCGCCAAGGATGGCCGGACCTGTGTCTCATCCTCAAGCCAAGCCAAACACTCACCAGAAAGGGCACAACTGAAGTTGGCAGTGGGGGGAAAAAGCTCTCTCATCCACCAAGCAGCAAGGTATCAAGCCAAGTGCGATGCGCGAACTGGAAATGAAGCTGGATACTCCACCCTCCCATCCGGACGAGTCTGATCATGCCCAAACTGGCGTCTGAACTGAAATGGGAAGTAGAACACACAGTGTATGAGGCCAATCAACTGTATGCCAGGCTAGCAAGACATGTTGTAGCTCATCTCAAACAAGTTAAGCCAGGGGCATCACAAGCAATATCAGTCGCAGATCTGTTGTACAATAATTCGCACCACAACCCCTCTGTGGGGAAGTTCACTAGCTGCGACCGAAAGAAGTAAGATCTGGCCACATACTCGGGGCACAGGTCCACGACCTTCAGCTTATCCATCAACCACACATGGGAAGGGATAAAAAATAAGAGAGATTAAAGAATAAAGAGATGTGCGTTGAGAGAAAAAGTAAGAAAAGGGCTTTGAGAGAAAATAGAGACTGAGTGCCCAAGTGATGTGAGAAATCATAAATGAGAAATTGTGGGAAACAATACCTGGAAAAGTAGTGGACTCCCCGCAAACCAAAAAGTCTCTCGCCTATGGAAGGCATCTAAACCCATTATGGTTTCGGCCAATGCCGAGCCTATACAGCTTTGGCCCTCCTTAAGGTGTTGAGCCACTTCAATCAGTCGAATGCAAACTCTGTTACCACTAGGGGCAAGAAGATAATAGGCGAGCAAGCATATGCAAAGGGCATGTTGGCGATAACCTCACCAAAACAGATCATGCCTATTCCTGATGGCGGAGAAACGGCGAATCAGGCAACGAATGTCTAACTCTCCATCATGAACCAAAGATTTAGCCTCCCTGACAGAGAGGCCACACATTTGTTAAAGAGCCTGTGCATGGCCAAAAGAGGTTGAGGCATAATTTTCTCATCACACCGGGAGTCCATTAGTGCTTGAAACTCTTCGAGAGTAGGACATATCTCTTGCAATCCAAAGCGAAACACATGGGTAATCGGGTCCCAACAACAGGCAGCGGCATGGAGGAACGAAAAAAACGGAGTGCGGCTTAGAGTAAAAAGAGCATTTATGCTGAAACCATTGAAATTCACCTTTTCTATGCTATCCAAAGAGGCCGTTCAATTTTTGAGCTTCTCCATAGCGAAAATCTCCATTTTTAGAGTAAACAACAAAAAAGATGAGGTTTTATCGAAGAAATATCAAGAGAAGACCTTTATAGAAGATAAGGTTGTGTGAGTGGCCGACAGCTGTTGCCAGCTATCCAGCCGCAAGTCTTAGTCGGCCAGCCACTTATCCAGCCAGCTGTATATTTCATTGGCCGGCCGGCCAAGTATGCCGACCAAACAGTTTAGCAACAGTGTTATGTTTGCCCTCTTCATTTTTTCGTCTTGTTTTGAGTCTTTTGTTTCTAGTAAGTATAAATAGGTGTGTTTAGGTTATTTTTACTTTGTATTTCCTTTATTGAGTTGTATTTTGCATTTTGGTCAGTTGTAGGCTCAATATCTGGTTGAGAACTCATTCGATTGTGATCATTATTAGTTTCAAATTCAGAAATGCAATCATTTTTTTGCAAGTGTTGTGCCATTCTCAAGATACTGTGCGCAGTGAAAGTTCCTTCTTTTATAAAACTGTAGGGTACGACCCCGATCATAGTTTTTACAAAAGAGAAATACAAGTTTTCAATAACAAAGAGTAAAAAAACCTATCTGAAGCTATACAAAGTTTTGAACTACCAAAACAAAAAGGAAAAAGAGAAATCCAAAATCAGCATCTGTCAGGTCAGGTGCATCGGGAAGCCCTATTTGTCCTCCTTCGAGGACGAGATTCAAGATCACTGTTGCCATCAGCACCACTATCTCCGAAAGACTATGACTCCGAGCTAGAATCATCGTCTCCATCCTCAGACTCAGATTGCTCGCTCACGATCTCCTGATGTCTCTAGTCTCAGTGTCCTCGTCAGTAAAGGTTCTCTCAGTAAACAAAGAAGCTCCCTATACTCTGGACTCGCTATCTCCGCTCTAACTCCAACTCCTGCACCGGGTATCTCTACCCTTACCTCTGCCTCTGACTTCACTCCAGCCACGCAGGGGAGCTCGTCTATCTCCCCTCCCCACAGTTGGAGGGGGTGCCACAGGTACCGTTAGTACAGGTGAAGGCTAATTCCAACCATCCAAAAAATTAATATTGAACGTCCAATTATATATATATATTACAAATTCCATAAGAACCAAGTCTAATCCAACGTCAATAATTTAATTTGATACATAATACAGGAATAACCAACTACTCCCACTGCACATTTTAGAAATATAGAAATACATATTCGTAGTGTCCTCGATCCAATTACACAATGTAAAATTATCTGAAATTAGATCGTCATTTAGCTCTTCACTTGCATCATTCAGCAAAACATTAGCTACATCTTTTGCAACTTCCGATCTGCCTCTGTTCTTCCTTTTCGCTTCGATGATTTTATGTACTCATTCAACCATTTTCTTCTTTGCCTGAAACAACCCATCTTCAAATTTATTATTAATTTCTCATAATAGTGTAAAATAAGAAAAATAAAGAAATTAATGTGACTACATAATTAACTTCCCTGTAATGACTTGTGGAGTCTACTTCCAGGTATGTTAATTGGTAAAGATATGAGACCAGCCATGAATTCTTGAAATTGTTTCTTTAGAAACTCCGTGTCATCACCTGGATCCATGCTAACCAATGCCTTCACTAGTACTTGAAAAACAATCTGAACAGAACATATGAACCTTCTTTAGTATAAGTAACATCTTTAAGGGTTTAGAAACATAATTATTACTCTTACTAACATATTAATGAGGATTAGGGAACATAATTACTGTGTATGTAATATGGTTCATCATTACTTTGGACTATTAAGTATAGTTATTATGATCTTAGTTTATCAGGTAAAACAATTCATACGAAATCATGTTATTGGGATATCAAGCACAGATATCAAAATATCTGATAAATCTGACTCTGAGATGGACACCATCTAGTGCTTTATAACACGAACACAAACAACAATTACACCACCACCAACAACAACGGGTAAATCTTATAATAGAGTGAGTTAATGAGAAGCAAATAGATAAAAATTGGATAGATACCAATACAGGGGATTCAATTATTATACAAACATATCTGATTAGACAGAGCACAAGGAGCATAAAAATGACAGAAATGTTGTTGGTTCACTAATGAAAAGAGGGTAAAATTCTAAATTCTAATATATTCTCCCTCTCTCTGTCTTACATACCATTTAGATTTCTGCATTCTGCAACATATTTTCAGCACACCGCTGCTGATTTTCAGCACTTGTTTAGAACCTCAAAATTGCAGTACTAAATGATAGGGGTTTCATCTTAAATGGAAAAAATGCATTGACCAAGAAACTAAGCCAAATTTAGGAGAAAATAATAATAATGATGACCACAGATTTGATGAACTTTTACATTCAATAGATGATGGCACAATCAGAGGTATATTACGAACTTACAATTCTTGTCATCCACAAATTTCCATGTCAGGCTCTGTAAAAAGAGCAGCAAATGATTGCAGCATTTTCCAACTTAAGATATATGACCCCACCTAACACTAATTATAGACTCGACAAGGCAACAAAATCATAAAATCCTAGTTTCCAACAAGTGCATTTCCTTATTTATTGGATTATCATACCATTAAAAAGAAAAACAATTTAATACTAGCTAGAGTTGGTAAACTTAATCCAAAATCATGAACTCCACCAATTATATCTATTTAAAATCCATTTAGATTTGTTCAAATTCATAAATAGATAGATTTCATGTTACAGGCTCAATTAACATTCGGTTTAAATAGATTGGGTACCACCACCACCACCGCCGCCACCACAATTCCACAACCACCAAACACTGTCACCATCACCGCCACCACCAAACTTGTCCCTTTGCCACCTCTAACAGCAACTATGATACGAGTCTTAAAAGTCACAATCAAACAACTTAATTAGGCAGTATGAGTCTGAGTATGAGGAGCATAAAGTTTTGAAGACCTTACTCGAATGAAATCGGTGAGGACGCATGAAGGCAGGATCTTGGGCGACTTGTAAAACGTGAGTTGGACCAACTCCTTCATCTTGTCAGGGGTCTGCGACAACAATATGGTAGCAACCTCATCTATACTCGACTATTAGTAAAAGTCTAAACAATCTAAAATAGATTCTTAACATTTTATTAAAGAACTCAGATAAACTCTATCAAACATAGACATACATGTGACGACGTCGGTCCATGAAGGTCTCAGGGTGGTCTGAGTAAGCACAGGAGATGAAGGAGATAGATTCGCCGAGAAAAGGCCATCCAAGAGTGCCTAAAGGAAGTGGGATTGGCGATCTTCTATAACTCCTCATCTTCTACATTGCAACTGTGATTAAAGCAATGTAAAGCAGCCCAATAATGAGCAAGCATAAAAAAAATCGCAATTTTATGTGCTAGAATGAAGTTCCACAACAAGAGTGCCTAGGTAAACTGCCAGTAAGTAATGACCAGAACAAAAAAATTCTAGACTGACAATCTCTTGACTATTGTACAAAGAATGATTGATACCATGAGAGAGGTTAGTGTCATCGTTGCCACAAGATATTATATTCTCCAGTTCATTAACCTTAGGTTAGTGTCATCATTGCCACAAAATTGGACTTGTGTTCAGATTCTTGCATCTCCAGAGCCTGAAGAGACCTTCAGCAATTGAGTTAGGAAACAGACGTAGTAAATAAAAAAGAAAACTCATCAATATTAAATAATGAAAGTCATTACTATTCATTTATTCCAATATAGAACATGCATATATGTTGTTATGAAAGAAGTGTTGTGAAGTATCAATGATGAGAAAGTGCTGATGTAAATAGACACTTGTGAGAAATATATTACTATTTACCTCCTCTTCCTTAGCTCTTCTTGCTTTCTCTGCCCCCTCAAAGGCATCCTTTGGATGAGGGATTTTGGGAGGGAAAGGAAAATAAAAAAGAAAAGGGAAAAGATCAAGAGAAAATTAAAATAAATTTATTACCTTCCTTTCCCTAAATAAATCCAAGATCCAAACATAGCACTAGGGATAAGAACAGACAACTCACCCTCACTCAATAGTTCCAATCTCAAAATCCAGCAAAGATCAGAAAACTCCTTTCAAGAAAATTGATTTCTTTCACAAATCAGAAGAGCTTCCCAGAGAAGACATCACAAGATCTCTTTATGAGAAGGATAATCCATACAATTTAAACTTACAAACCAACATAATTTAGACTTTCCCCATTTTTCAACTGAAACCCTAATTAAAATTTCCATAAACAGACAATCCCCCAAAATTTTAATCTCCAAAACACAAAACCCACCTTCAAATCTAATGGATCATCAACTTCAAGAGAGAGATTCAACAACCATACCATAAAATTCACCAAAAAAGTATGCAGGAACTAAAAAAGATAGTACAAATTCATAAATTGTTTTAGTATCCCCACCTGAGAACCGAAGCAACATAAATTATCCATAAAAAAAAGTCAGACCCAGTTCACCTTCTACCTCTCCAACTCAACATCTACTAGCTCTTCTTCCAAACAAAACCCTGAATTTCACAAGCTGTATCAGTCAACTCAAATCATTCAGATCATCAAAACAAACATACCCAAAATAAATTTTTTTTAAAAAAATCAAGAAAATTAACAGATGGGTACCTGAGAATTCAGAAGCCGATCCACCAATAACAAGAAAACACAAGAAAAAGGAAAGGGAGATATGGGTTTTTCTATGCTGCTGACTGAGTCCTCGTACAGAATATAGATATGTATTCAATTCAAGTAAAGATTTTTTTTTTTTTCTAATTTTTTTTTTACAAATAAACAATATATATGCAGTGTGATTAGGAAGGAATTGAAGGGTTCGGGTTTGTAAAAGCAATTTGGGTTTAAAAGAAGAATGAATTGGATTTAACAGGGTGTGCTCCAATGGTTGAGAGCGAGAGGGAGGAAGGGGAAGAAGAAGGGGAAATACCAAGGTGTGCTCCAATGGTTGCTGCGAGCGAGAAATAGAGAGAAAAAACGCTGCTCTTGGGGAGATGGGTTGTATCGTCGCCGGTGAGGAGGTGGGTGCTCGTGTGCAACAGTGGTGGCCGGTAGGAGGGTCGCCTGCGATAGAGTGAGAGAAAGAGAGAGAGAGAGAGAGAGAGAGAGAGAGAGAGAAGATCGATGATGAGAAAGTGAAATAGGAGAGGGCTGTGTAGGGGTAATTAAGGACAAATGCCGACTAAATTTTATTTCAGTAGCCAAAACGATAACCAACAGCGACCAAATGTTATTTTAGTCGCTAAAAGTAATAATTTAGCGACTAAACATTTTAGTCAGTAATTAATTTCATAAATCCCACCAAAATTGAAATTTTCCCTCAAAATATTTTAATTCTTTGGCGACTAAAATATTTTTCGTCACTGAAAATAAACTATTCGCCAAAGGTAAAGAATATTTTTTTTATTTTCCAATTGCCGACTGAAGCGTTTTAGTAGCCAAATCTGCACCTACAGCGACCAAAATTGTTTTTCGTCGTTGAAATAAACTATTTGGTCGCCAAAAGATAAAAAATAAATTTTTAAAATTGTTTTGGCTACTAAACAATTTAGTAGCTAAAAGTAGCCCTACGGCTACTAAAATTTCTTTTAGTTGCCAATTGTGATATGTTTAGCTACTAAAAATTTTTGTAGTCGCCAATTGTAATTTTTTTAGCTACTAAATTTTTTTTAGTCACTAATAATCTACATTCCCCTACTAGAAAAAATTAGTAGCTAAAAAGTTGACTTTTGCCGACTAATATTATTTTTGGTAGCCAATTCCGACACTTTTGGCGACTAAATTTTTTTTAGTAGCCAAAAATGGTCGCAAAAAATGTATTTTCTTGTAGTGGTGGCTCACGTTTTTCCCACTCCACTTCTGCCGAGATTGGCTTCCTTTTGTGGTTTATGAAATTTGTCTTAATTGGGTTTTTTTAGGCATTTGCCATTGTAGGCTGGTTTTCACGTGATCAAGTTAAGCATTTTGTTCAAAAAATAAATAAATAAACTATCATTTTGTCCTTGTATATGTTGAAAAATGATTTTTTAGTGACTTTAATATAAAATTAAAGTAAGTCTTGATTATTTTAGGGTTTGGTTTGGTACAATATATATATATATATATATATATAAATATGTCATATTTGGCGACTAAAATATGATTTGGTCGCCAAAGATTAAAAATTAAATTTTTTATTTTCATTCTGCTACCAAACGATTTAGTAGCCAAAAGTGGATCTACAGCGACTAAAAGGAATTTGGTCGGTGAAAATGTTTGGGGACCAAAATTTTGGTCGCCAAAGATTAAAAATTAAATTTTTTATTTTCATTCGGCTACCAAACGATTTAGTAGCCAAAAGTGGATCTACAGCGACTAAGAGGAATTTGGTCGGTGAAAATGTATTTTTGGCGCCCAAAATTTTGGTCGCCAAAGATTAAAAATTAAATTTTTTATTTTCATTCGGCTACGAAACGATTTAGTAGCCAAAAGTGGGTCTACAGCGACTAAAAGGAATTTGGTCGGTGAAAATATATTTTTGGCGACCAAAATTTTGGTCGCCAAAGATTAAAAATTAAATTTTTTATTTTCATTCGGCTACCAAACAATTTAGTAGCTAAAGGTACCTCTACGGCTACTAAATTTTCTTTTAGTCGCCAATTGTGATATGTTTAGCTACTAAAAATTTTTTTAGTCGCCAATTATAATATTTTTAGCTACTAAATTTATTTTAGTCACCAATAATCAACATTCCCCTACTAAAAAAAATTAGTAGCTAAAAAGTTGACTTTTGCCGACTAATATTATTTTTGGTAGCCAATTCCGTGACTTTTGGCGACTAAATTGTTTTTGGTAGCCAAAAATGGTCGGCAAAAATGCATTTTCTTGTAGTGACTATAGGGCTTTACCTCGATCATAGTTTTTACAAAAGAAAAAATACAAATGTTTTAAACAAAAGTAAAGTCCTATCTGAAGCTATACAAAGTTCTAAAACTACAAGGCAAAAGAAAAGAGCCAAAATAGTACAAAAATCAGTATCAGTCGCATCAAGCTGGAGAGGCCCTCTTCGTCCTCTTTTGAGGAGGGGACTTGGGAGTACTATCGCCATCAGTGCCGCTATCATCGGAGGACTGGGACTCAGAGCCGTCATTATCCTCTTCGCTTTCCGACCAAGAGCCAGTCTTAGCATCCTCTTTGATCCCTGATCCAAAGCTAGCCTCATCAACCTCACTTTCGGACTCGGAGTGCCTGCTCAAAGTCTCCTCAATGTTGCCTCTGCCCCAACCTTTGCTCTTACCTCGGCTGCATACGGGAGCCTGTTTACCTCTCCTCCCCACAGCCGGAAGAGGTGTCGTTGGAGCTGCTGGCATCGTCAGTGCCGCTGTTGCAAATAGAGGCTGAAAGTAAGAAACAGAGTATCCAAACAGCATCAATACAGGTATCAATGCAGAATCAGTAAGAATGTGGCAGATTATAGCAATATAGTGGGGTGCAGAACAATATGAATATGGCAAAAAGAGAATCAGAGCAGTCAAATATATTAGAAAAGTGAGAATACTTGATAACTGTGGAAAGTAAGCAATGTCTCTCTCCTCCACACCATTTGGACCAAAGAGGCGACCAACCTGAGGAGGCCATCCATGTACTCCAATGGCACCTACAAATGAGTTCGAACATCAGTATCCAGAAAAAAGAGTATGAAATACAAACAGCGAGGCAAAGTGCGTACATGCTGCACGTTAAGGTCTCAGACATACCTATACTCCTCCTCCAGTGGCTCGATCGGAATCTGTTAGGCCATCCCACTCGGCTGCTAACATGGGATCGAAGTCGGGATCATCGGCAGACTCGTAACATGTATAGAAGGGGCAACCCCTCCAGCACTAGGCTCAACAGCGTGAGCAATACCTCTAGTAACAGGTGCACATGCAGGGTTTCTTGCGCAAGCTTTGGTTAAGGGTGGCATCAAATGAGTCTGAATGAATGCAACATAGTCCCTGACCCCCCCAGAAGAAATCGGCATCCTGTCTCGCCATAAACTGTATGGTCGCCTCAACTGGGAGGCTATCAGTTGTCCTTATAGATGTAGAGAAGGAGTAGGAACAATAGGAGCAGATAGGCCCAAAGTTTGGCGCACGAACCTCTTTCTAAGATACTAGGCCTTGTAGAAAGGACCCTTCAGCAAGATTCAAAATTGGGAGGTGGGCCAGGATTCGGCGTACTCATCCCACGTCCCGGCCAGTATCACCGCCCACGACTCCCACACACTTTGCGAATAGAGAATTCACAGTTTTTGGTTACTGTCAATTGTCAGAGTGTGGATCAAGGCAGTAGCAATGGAATGGAATGGGTATGAGTTTTAGATTACCTCATGTGCCGCTACTGTATCGAAGAATCAGCGGTCATAAACAAATATAGTATCTCCACAACGCCAAGGATGGCATCGCCCATCGTACCGCCAAGAATATGGGACAGTAGCCTCAACCTCATCCCTAGGAACTGGGGTAAGGGCAGGGAAGTATCCGTATATCTAGAGCTGCAAGAAAAGATCAGTTTGTGAGTTAACAGGCAAACAGAGATGAAGACAGAAAGTGCAAAGCAGAAAGCATAGTGAAACAAACAAAATTTGAAAGTGAAAGTGCAATGTGTACCTCCCAGGCTCTTTAGTAGCTCCCAACCTTGTTCCCCTTCTTGCAAGAACCGGAGCTCATGTATTCGTATAGGATGGTGAGGCCAGCACCGCCCCAGTCATAGAACTACACCTGGGGTAGGACCACCAAAGCACTCAGTACGTACAGACCTACGGTATTCCACCTGTTCACAAACAAGGTGGCACTGAGAAGATAGATCAGAAAGCCCAAGTGTACTGCTCGATCTCCTCTTGAGTCTCTGAATGGCTCCCGTGGAGGTGATCATAGAACCAGCTGTATCTCACCATAGCCGGTCTATCCAAGGGAGGGCTTGTACTGAGCAGATGAATTTAAGTGGCCTCCTGCTAGCCCATATTGATGTCAAAGGGGATCAGATCACCCCTACTCACTGCCTTGTAATGATAGACAAGTCATACAAGGTCATCGTCATCTCCTTAGGGGATGAGAAGTGGAAGGAATTGGTGGTGTCTCACCACCTCTCAACCAGAGCACCAAGCAAAGCCCGGTTGGCCATCAGTCGCACAAGCCCTGAGCAAAATAGGTCAAAGCCCACCTCAGCAACTAGCTCTCTAACTCGAGCAAGAAGCTTCTAATACCAGCCTCTTGCTATCATAGCCCCACAACCTCTCTAGGCAAGAGCATCACACTATGTTGAAAGAGAAGAATGTGTCAAATGCATAACAAAATGTGAGACTGTAATGAAATGGAAAAGCAAGGACAATACATAAAAGAAGTAAAGCCTCTTAACTAAGTGGCGTCATAGGAGAGATGAAAGGGACGTTCCCTCAACAAGAAGTCCTTGGGCACACCCCCGACGAAGTCCTTAAACTGCAGCATGCTGTTAGGGGCCATCGCATGTGTCCGTGGATGGTAAGTGGCACGGTCGAATGGCCTCACCCTCAGTGGTAGTAACTTCGGCTCAGGCTCCAGAGGTAGGTCTCCTCTGCGGCAATACTAGTGGCAATGTCCTCTGTCGCCCCACTAGCCTCAACCATAATTGTCTCCTTAACCTTTACCGTAGGTGGAAGCACAGGTACCTCGGAAGGGGCACCATCATGTGGAATGTGATCTGCCATAGAGAAGTATACTAGTGATGAGGGAAAATGAGGAAAAATGGGGAAAATAGGTGGAACATCCCAAAGTCAAGCCCTGTGAGAGAAAAAAAGTCGAAACCCGGGGGTAAGTGCAGAAACCAAGGAAAACTCATGAAAATTGGGCCCAAAACAATGAAAA